CTGCAATGTAAATAGAACAGAACAGGGAAAAACAGAAGAAGAAAAAGAAAAAAAAAGAGAAAAGATGAAAGAAAGAGGAGATAGAAAGGAGACAATGACATAACATTTTCAGTCTGCTTCATCACCTGTAACGAGATGCAAAAATAATTGCAGGAGACATACAATAAAGTAACACCTTGAAACTATTGCTGAGTTATTAATATTTAGTCTGGCATGAAAGATTTTAAGTTTGACTTGCAGGAAGGTGAACATAAAAGATACTTTCTTGGAGGGAAGATGTAAAAAACCTCTTGTTTTGTCCCACTTAAGCTCTACTTAATTATCTTTAATCGTGTTAATTTTCTGCTTGTTTATCGCTGTTATCCAGGTGTCTCCATGTGAAAAGTGCAGGTGTGAGCCCAGTGGAGAGGTGCTGTGCTCTGTGTCTGCCTGTCCTCAGACGGAGTGCGTGGATCCTGAGTACGAGCCCGACCAGTGCTGTCCCATCTGCAAGAGCGGTAAGTGACGTTTCTGTCAACAAGTGGCGAGGTTGAAGGCTGGACTTCAGCTCCAAAAAGCCTCCTAGTGGAGCACAGAGCAGAATGCAATGCTTTCTTTTTTTTTTGTTGCTCAGGGGCACTTCAGCTGCAGTAATGAGTGCTTTGTAGCTCAGTGTTCATTCTGCTGACACAGAAACACAGCATGCTGCACTGCAGTGTGCAACATCTTACCATATCAGGTTAGGTTTACTCTACAGGAGCCAGGCTAACCTTTATCTAACGAGGCATGCTATTCTTTTTGGAGAATAAATTTATATAGATGTCAGTTGGTCTCTTCCTTTAATATCTAGATTCAGACTTTCAAATACAACGGAGCAGAGGTTGTTTGGTATGTTTGCATCCCGTGTTCCTGTTTAATGATCTCAGAAAGCCTTAGCCTCTCTGAGAAAGAGGAATTCTGCATCTCAGACTCGATTAGCTGGAAATGTTTCCGATGATTCCCGACAGCTTGTCCTAGATTATGTCCCCTTGTTTTCTTGGTGTGACTGTAATGCAACATGGCAATGCCAGCAACGCTGCTTCCTTCAGCAAAAAGAATGATGACTTGCGATATGTATCTCTGACTTTGAATCTTAAAGGGGTGTGGGCTGTTTGACATAAACAAGAGCAAACAATTTGCATGAAGAGAAAGGAGGTGGAAAAAAGGCTCCTGCTGCTTGGAGTGAAGTGCTTTGGATGGCTAATGCAGATTTTTTATTTTTTTTTTAGCTTGTTTGTCGGTTTTTTTTATTTCACTGTATACAGATTAAAGTATGAACTCTCCAGGATGTGAATTAGAGGCTGTTTTTTGAGGGTTGTCAGTAAAAATAAGTGGATTAAATGCATAAAACAGTCACTCAGTGACTTATTCAGCACGTGACATGCATCCACTTCCTTTAAATACACCCAAAAAAATTGCATTAGGATGATTTATATTAACTCAGAAAACATTTGCATCTAATGAATGCTCATGATGAGGTATTAATCAGACGTTGTTCTGCTCTTAATTAAAGGCTGCATCACAACCTTCACTGATAACAAGTAGGAGAAAAAAGGATAAAATATTGGACGTCACGGTGTATTATGCACTCTATTAATATGTGCCTCCTGTAATCTCGGGGATACGTATTGGTCCCTTTTCCCATTTTTTTTTTTTTTTTCTGCTGTACACTGACTTTTTACATATGCACATATTGATCATGCTGAGGGAGCTTTGCACAGAGCTTGGCCCGTGCTCCATCTTTCCTCCTTTGAAATGCCCAGTGGATTTGCAGGGTCGTGTTCCAAGACTCATCAGTCTAGCAGACACATCAGGATACGATGCAATATTGTGCAGGGAGGGCATGCATTCGTCTTCCAGTAGATCCCCTCCCAAATCCATGAGCTCAATCACCCGTCAAGGATTTTCAGACAGCGTCAGTTGTTGTTAGCATAAAATTAGCACAGTTTACCATAAACAGAGCTCGCCACGTCAAAGAGGCCAGGTTACATGACCACGACGAGCACCGCCATGCAGGAATGCATACAATCCTGGATTCTATGCTTAGAAGATTTCAGCAGAGTTTTAACAAATTGGCCTGAACCAACAGCTGCTTCTTGTCACTTCAAATTTATGCCCTGATAACCTCATCTGACTCATGCTATTCGGGGTTTTTGACACTTTCCATTTAATCTGGAAATAAAACTGCATTGTACAGAAAGTTGAATTTATAATTAGCTAACTTTTTCCAGACAGGTAAGACTGGAAGGAGTTGTATAACGGGGGGAGCTGCTGGTTGAAGCTGTTTTAAAATATGATACATTATAGCAATGGTTTAGTGTGGGGTGATCTCCAGAATGGAAGTATGTGTTTGAAAATGTTGCCATAAAAGGCAAATGGTTACAAAATTATTTAGAATAAGAGTTGTTTAAAAACTTAAAAATGAAAAGAGGAACCAGTTAAACAAAAAAAAATCTAATTTCTATCTACTGCTGAATAACACCAAAAGGAAAATAAATATTAAGACAAATAAACATGCAACTAATGCTAATTTAATCAATTTAAAAAATATAACTGGAGTATAACTATAAACACCTTTTTGACTGGTGAAGGGAAGCAGTTTGACATAATTAAAATAATTTCTACACTGCAAAAAATAGAAATCTCAATAAGTTATTTTTTCTTAAAATAAATGCGTTTTTCCTTGAATTGAGGAGATAAGTAAGACACTTTGCCAATGGAACAAGACAATTTCCTTTTAAAATAAGAAAAAACAATTTTATCGTCTTATTTCAAGTAAATATTATCTAACTATCTTATTTTAAGAGTAAAAATACTCATTCCATTGGCAGATCATCTTATTTTTCTGCTCAAATTAAGGGTAAATATACTTAATTTAATATACTGGATTGTTTTTGCAGTGTAAACATTATTCAGTTTAATTTTCTTAGGTTTTCTTTCATACCTAGATGTAATTTTGTTCCAAAGGATGAGGACATTTCCACCTATAGCTTCGTAGTTTAGCTATGGTTTCTGCTCCAACCAGAAACACAGCAGCAGGTGCAAAAATGATCAGTGAGATCAAGAGAAAAATATTTCCTCAGAGAAAACTCCAATTGCTGGCCTCACCTGCAGAGCTCAGTGGTAACAGGTCTTCATGGCAGAGTTAATTTATTCCAGCTTATTAACCTGAGCATGCCCGGCTCTTTCAGCTGGATGGTTCCAGAACCGTAGCCTTTATAAATTCAATTAGAGAAATTATTCTTGAACATATTATGCTCACGCCAAAGGGAATGAGAGGATCGTTTCTACCTTCTCTGACATCTCTGCCCTGTTTGTTTTTTGTTTTATAAAGCGGCATTACAGCAGGTTGCCTTCCTCCTTTCTTCATCCTACAACATTAACACCAGCTTTCAGTTGAGAGCTTTATTTCCACCAATATTTATGCCACCAACGATGCAGATTGATTTGGACTATTTGCGCTAACCATCATTTGCATAAGTACACAGAGATTTGCGTGGATCTTCCACTAAACAAACCCTAATACCTCATTAGAATTTGTGCAGCTCAGAGGAACACTATTTATTAAATAGTAGAATTTTACAAACAGCTCATGCTTTCAACGCTGTTTAAATAATCACAAACTTTTGCTTTTGCTTATCAAACTCTCACAAATATCTTTTCAAACCAAATCATTTTATGCTGCTTGAGTCTGTTTTAGTGGTATTGACTCTGTCAGGCATCAGATAGTTTGAGTCATTTGTGTCTGTTTCCTAAATGTACTCAACATGATGCAAAAAAAACAAAACAGGTGATTTTGCACAAACATTAGTTTGGTCGTGGTCATTGTGGTCTTTTGCTGTTTTGCTGCATGGGAAGCAGGTACTAAAGATTTTACCTCTTATGAAGGGCCATGCTTAAAATGACTACCTGTATCTAAATAAGTCAGGGACGTTGCAGATTATCTGAACAAAACCCGTCTAGATGAATTTGCTGACTGATTAAATTTTCCTTTCAAACAACCTCATATGAGAAACCTGCAACAAATAACATCCAAACCAGCTGGTTTAATCTCAGGGTACTAATGCTTCTGTAATGAGTTTAAAACGTAGGACCCAATATTCAAGGTAAGACAGAACGTAGCAAGATAAAAAAAAAAAAAAAGGTATAATAAAATCAGAAGGATACGCAGAGCTGTGGATCTGCAGCGGCTTTTGGGGAAGGCGGGGCACCGCTCATCACTGGCAACTCTGATTTGGGAGAAACACAGGTAAGTGACCATGATAATCTGACAGAAGAGGATTATTCATGTGAGTCTCTTACCTGGTTTAACAGTTCAGTCCATCTCCTTAGAGCTTGGTAAAATCCAGCCGATGGACTGTCAACGAGATGCTGCAGCCCCAGTGAACGGACAGGTATCCAAGCCAGCTCAGGGAAACCGTTACGAACCGGAAGGCTCAGAGATCCGGGAGTCCGTAGCCCGGTCAGCGGTTCCGATCAGAACAGTAACAGGCAGGTTCAGGGTTCCAGGAGTACAACAGGCAGTTCAGGCAGGTTTAGGGTTCCAAGAGTCAGAAAGTTCAGGCAGAACATG